ACAGGAAAAATAAGACTTCATCAGCAATGAACTCATTAGACTATGTCCATCCCAAGAAGTTTGTTCTAAAAGGACACTTGACTATAGAGCAAAAGATCACAAAGGGAGAAATAAATGATGGCATGGAGTTAGGCAGAGCAACAAAATCTAGATCAGGAGAACAGCAGCTATTATTACACACTGCACACAAAAGTAGCTAGAACTTGAGATAGGTATTTGAGTGATGAAAAAGCAGAAACTTTAAGAACTCTAGCCAGGTGGGCAGAGGGACTAGCAGAAACAGAACACCATAGGTTAGAAAAGACCCAAGTACCGAAACAGATGGGAAAAAAGACACCACCACCACCACCCACTTTCCCTTGCTTATATATTTCTCCCTCTATATTGCTCTCATTAGGTTATTATTTACATGTGACACATATTTAAATAACATTTAAGTTTCTATAAGAGCAAAATTCTTTTTAACTCATGCACACTGGATGTGCATGGTGACAAAATCTCTCCACCATACTTTTTGTTCTTCGAATCAATATGATGATGCTCTACTCAATGTGTTCTCATAATCTGTGTTTTTTACTAAAATGCAATGTTTTATTTAAAAATGTATCCCTTACTTTGTTTAAAGAAAAAAAAAAAAGTCTTCCAATTGCATTAGCACTCTTATTATCAGTTCTCATTAACTTCTCCAAGTAGAATGAACGGTCAAAGAGCAAGGTTGCTGAGATTATAATTGATTCTTCAGGAGTTAATGTATATATAATATAGTCTTCTATAGAAGGTTTTGCCTAAAAGCAAAAAATCTCAGAACAACTGCATCTATAATATTGATGGATGAATATACCGCCTCCCCCTGCCCTGCCAATTATTGGGGGGTTGGGAGGTGGGGAGCGGCGGGTGGCAAAATGAAATTCTACTTTCTAAGCAAGCATTGTACTTGGTATTTTCACATACATTATTTCATTCAATTCTCACAACACTCCTGTGAGGCAGGTTTTATTACCTATACCTTATGCTGATACAAACAGGAGACAGTGGTTAAAAAACACTCAAAAGTTACAATGTTAGAAGCGAAGTTGAGATTTAAGCTTTAAATTTTCACCTCCAAGTTCAGAGAACCCTCCACGACACATCAATACCCTTACATTTCCACTAAATTGACACCTACTGCTTAAGGTAGACTACTGTTAAGTAAGAAACAGGTATGGCGAGTCTGAGACTTGCTATAAGGTCTTAACTTTATTTTACCATCAAGCAGAAACTTTCTAGAATAAAGATGTTTGGATAACTGAAAGGATAAAAACCTTTGAGGTTGCTTTTTTTCTTCCCATGAAACTTTTAAATGGCTAATCCAGGAATCTGAGTTCAGAATATTCCATCTTCCTTTAAGTTCCACCTTCCCCTGACCAACCGTTCTCTTCCTCAATGAAAACTTTTCTTAGAATATTAGCCAATTTCACTAGAAAACTGGCTTTCTGGCCTTTTGCTAATCACAGCATAGGTACCTACAAGTGTACATGTAGCCCTGCAGTTTTCAGCCTTGCTGTACATTATCACACCAGAGATCAGGGAAAATGAAACAACAAATGACAAGGTAAATGAGAGAGTACCTAAGCCAGAGAGACAAACGTCAATGATACTTCCTCTGCCTGCTAACCAGACAGAAATGTATATAGGCAATTCAAAGTTCCTGCTAGAGTAGTAGACCCTTTTGCAGGTCATAATTAATCACAAAGCCTAGAATGAGATGAAGCTATCATCCTGACTTTTCAAAGGAAGCCAACCCTTCTATACTCCTAACTGTTTAGACATAAAAGCAGGTTTGGATTTTTTTTTTCTTTGTCTTGCATTGGAAAGGTTTGTATTTTTATACTGGCTGAGCTCAAATGATTCAGGGTTATGGACAGCTTCTGTTAAAGAGCATTACACTGGAGACTGTTAGAAATTTGGATTTACAAAGCCCCACCAGGCTTCTGCACACAATGTGATTATCCCTACTTGTTAGGTGCTGTTACTGTCCCTGCCTCCCCAAATAGAGAGCAGAGAGCCTGGGAGCCTAACCCCCTAACCCTAAACCCCACACTGGCAGGAGTGCTGGCAAACAGCAAACCCCACTGCCAGTCTTTCCTAGGAATATACCTGAAGGAAGTAGCAAAGGCACTAGAGAGCAAGTCCTGTGATACAGAAGCATGTCCAGGGCTATCTCAGGAAAGTCAGAAACAGGATTTGGCTAGCATACAAAACGGAGCCAATGTGGGGTCAGTCAGGCTGACTCATCCATTTTGGGATTTTCTAACATGTATGTCTTTTTTCCAAAATGCTCAGGACGTGTTTGACTTTCACGGTAGCTAAAGAACTGCATCTTTCTCATTAATAATGAGGTGATGGAAATTCTGACCAGTACAGAAAGTTCTGTTTTTAGAGATATTACAGGTTGGGTGCAGTTGCTCAAGCCTGTAATCCCAGCATTTTGGGAGGGCAAGACGGGCGGATCACGTCAAGACCATCCTGGCTAATACGGTGAAACCCCGTCTCTATGAAACATACAAAAATATTAGGCAGGTGTGGTGGCACACACCTGTAATCCCAGCTACTCGAGAGGCTGAGGCAGAAGAATAGCTTGAACCTGGGAGGCAGAGACTGCAGTGAGCCAAGATCGTACCACTGCACTCCAGCCTGGGTGACAGAGTAAGACTGTCTCAAAAAAAAAAAAAAAATAAGAAGAGATATTATGTTATCTTCATACTGATTCTGCTCCTTTTCCACATATAGTAGACACCATACATCAAAGTCACAAATGGGCTTTAAGGGTACAATTGAAGGCTACAATATTAGCCAGTTTAGAGGCAGAAAAACAGCTGATTAATTACTTGAAGAAACTTCATTAGGGCTAAATTAGAAAAATACTAGATACCTGAACAGATAAAAACCTTTGGGGTTGCCTTTTTTCCCCCCACCATTTTGTCTTGTAAGAGTATAAGAAAGGCTTAATATCAACCAAATATCAACCATAAGAAGGAACCCAAAGGTTCAACAAACACATTTTAAGAGTAAGTTTACTCTGGGATACGCTGAAGGACAAAAATACAGACAGTAGCAGTCCTAGAACTTCTGTTAACGGTCCAACTTATGGATGAAATGTGAATGTTACCCCACTGGCATGAGGAACTCTGAATGAGAAATCAACCTATTATTGACTATGCATAGATGACTTCTTGGTTCATAATTTACATCTGTATATGGTAAGATTTCAACACATTAGCAGGGACTGTAAAAGCAAAAGTCAATACTAGAGAGAACAAATGGAAAGATTCAAAAGCACCTTTCCATGGTGTTCATGCATGTGTTATGCTTCAATTAGTTGAATTCCATTAAAGAAAAAATAACCTGGCTGGGCTCAGTGGCTCATGCCTGCAATCCCAGCACTTTGGGAGGCCGAGGTGAGTGGGTCACGAGGTCAGGAGATCAAGACCATCCTGGCCAACATGGTGAAACCCTGTCTCTACAAAAAATACAAAAATTAGCTGGGCATGGTGGTATGTTCCTGTAATCCCAGCTACTCAGGAGGCTAAGGGAGGAGAACCACTTGAACCAGGGAGTCAGAGGTTGCAGTGAGCCAAGATTGCGCCACTGCACTCCAGCCTGGCGACACTGCACTCCAGCCTGGCGACACAGCGAGATTCCATCTCAGAAAAAAGAAAAAACAACACTATTTTTAAAGTGATGACAACAAAACCTTTGGTCAATGACTCTTGTTGGAGCTGAGCAGACCACAGAAAAGGTTGACCAGGGTTTCTCCAAGGCACTTACACAGAAGGGTGGGAGAAAGGGTGGAAGTAGGGAGCCAGTAGGGAAAAATGTTTCCCTTCTGGCAAAGCATTATTTCTTTAAGAAAAAAGACCACCACTGCCACCACTACCACAACAACAACAACAGAAAAAGCCTATGTTTAATATTCTGGAAAGCTAGAATGTTGGCTATGGGAAACCACTTAAATCTGTCCTTTTATCATCCATTAAAGTATTTAACAGATATTGGGTAGCATCCAGTGCCAGGCACGTATATAAGCACATTTACCAGTAACAAAACTCAGATAAGTGCTGGTATCTCCATTTTGCACATGTGGAAAATGAAGCACAGGGAAGTTGAAACTTGCCCAAGGAAGTATCTCTAAAGAGAGAAACAGGATTGAAACTCAAGCATTCTGGCTCCAGAGTCATGCATTTGACTACTCTTGTTACTTCCCCAACAAAGCAAAAAAGCACTGTTAAAGGTAGAAGAAGCCTCCATAACTTCTGAGAAAAGGACTTAGCCACTAACAGCCCAGCTACCTGTCTACTCCTAAAGGCAACAGACCTCTGCGGGTCACATAAAGTTGGATCATGGGGATTCCTGTGAGACAGCACAGAAAGCTTCAAAGTCTTGGTTTAAGATGGAAATTCATGACCCTTTCAAGGATAGCAGACAGTTAAAGCTTAAATCATGTTTATCAAGTTAAATATTTAACTAACTTTGAAAAGTTGATTCTGGAAAAAGAGTTCTAATTCTAAAACGAGCCAGCTTCCAAAAGGCTCTAAGAAACAAGGGTATCTTAATGTCCATCATCATTATACACTACAATGCCCATTAACCATCACTAAACAAAAATCACAAGGACTCTGGTGTTTTATATTATAGAATCATTGAAACTTCAAGGTAAATCTAATTTCCTAGAAATTATTTAATCCTTTGTTTTCAGTCCAGAGAGGATAAAAGGATGTGCCCAAAGACACCAAAACCAATACCCATTCTAACTCCCATTCCTCCCCTAAGTTCCTTGTCTCTACTAATAGTGTAAACAGGCACCAGTTTTCCAAGACAGGAACTCTTTTTCTTAGACCCTTCATGTGTCGTTTGTGGCTAAGTCCTATATCCACTTTGCTCAACCATTTCCAGTGGCTTCTTGCTCAACTCAGAATCGCGTCCCAACATTTCTCTCCTCTCCCATTTTTTTTTTCAGTTAGTTTAAGTAACAAGTCCTAGCTTTTTGAAATGGCATTTAATAGTTTTGCCCCAAGCCACTTTTTTGGGCCTCATTTTCTACTATTCCACCCTTTGTAACCCACCTAACTGGATTCCTCCCAGAACAAAGCTTATACTATAATGCCTCTCTGTTCTGCTTATAATTTTATTACCGTCTGAAATGCCATCCTTTCTAGCCATTACTTTCCCTTAGCAAAATTTTAGCCATCTTTGAATGGCTAGCTCAAATGCTGTCTCCACCATGAAATCTTGCAAACAATGATTATGGTTCACCGTAATAGGGCTAAATATAATACTGAAAAAATCAGGCTCCAAATTGAATGCTATCAATAACTACTGACTTAGATTCAACTACCAAACTCAACAGCTCCAATTTATCTGTGTGATATTATACCAGGCTTTGTGGTAATTATCATCATCACCATCATTACCTCAATTATTTAGTATGTAACAGTTCCCAAAGAGCTACCTTGTGCATAAACAAACTTGAAAGCTTGACAAAGCAGGTACTGTTACCAACACTTGACCAAAATGGAAAATGAGACCCAGAGAAGTTAAGCAGATTGGATCAGGACACATAGCTTGTAAATGACAGAACCTGACCTCTAACTTTTAACTTAAGTGTGCTATACAACATATCACACTGACTCCCATGTGAATGGTGGTGATACTGAGTTTCCTCATTTCAAAACTGCTCAATCTTCTTCACCTACCTATGTTAGTTGGTCATTTCCCCCAGACAGGCTGATACAGTGACGTGTAGACAAAGGGAGGGCTCTGGCAAACCACTCACAAGGAAAGCAGCATCTTTTACATTTTAAAAAGCATCTTTTAAATTTTATTAATTTCAGAAAAATCTCCCCTAATCTGATAACTGGATGCTGAATTCAAGTGCATATTCCTAAAATCCTACATTCTCTCATTTATAATTCAGGTAGGATTTGGAACTGAAAGGAAAGCAGAAGCCAAAAGCATCCTTATTCTCAGATGTTTCTCACACTGACAGTACAGAATGGCACTGCCAATATGGCTGGAAAAGTACTTCCCTTGCTATTTCACAGCAGTTTTCTGTCTTCCCTTGCTTTCCACAAATTTGTCACTCCAGTGTGACTGCCAGGTTTAAAATTGGCAAGAGAGGCACACAGTCCAAAACTAGGAGGAGGAATTTCATTTCACATGATTCCCTTATTTTCTAAAATCAAGCCCCTTCTCCCAAATTGCTTTTAATAATATTTTGTTTATATAAGAGATCTAGTATTAAAGATAAAATATGGATAAGAATGCAACCCTTTAAGAAAGGTGGCTGATAAGACCCTACAAGCCAAGTAATTCCTCAGTATCTAAAACAGTATTCCTTTTGAGATTATTTACGTATTTTTTAAAGAGCCATGGAGTCTCATGCCTGTAACCCCAATACTATGGGATGCCAATATGGGAGTCCAGAAGTTCCAGACCAGCCTGGGCAACATAGCAAGACCGCCATCTCTACTAAAAACAAAACAAAAAAGTTAAATTAGTCAGGCATGATGGTGCATGCCTATTGTCCCAGTTGTTCAAGGGGCTGAGGTGGAAGGACCCCTTGGGCCCAGGGAAGCTGCAGTGAGCTATAATCACACCACCGCACCCCAGCCTATGAGTCAGTAAGACCCTGACTCCAAAAAAAAGAAAAAGGACCTGAGGTGCAAAATATTAATGCTAAGAAAGAAGCAGTGTCAAGAGATTAAGTGGTGATTGACGAAATTATCTTTTAACTTTGGTGTGAGCTGTTCTTGTGATGTTCCAGGCCAGACAAGAGAAAGAGATGCAGTTTTCCTAGGTTCAGAATTTGATGACATTAATACTTTCAGTGCCAAAGATTTTAGGGATTTGGGGACAAAGAGAGTTAAAGGCAGTGCCTGAGATGATCTGACATTTTTAAACCTGTTCTGCCTACCATATGCATACAAGTGAGGGATGCTTGTATTTAAACAGACAGTTTGGCTACACAACTAACTCTTTTTACAGAGGGAGGTATTTTTCACTGGAAGGGATAAGGTAGTGAGGACTCAGGATCCTTGGGTCTCACATCTTCATCTTTCTGCTACCATACCACTGTGTGACTTTCAGCATGTGACCTCAGACTCCTGTCCACACAAAGAGGAGACAAGATGAAATGATTCGTAATACCTGCTCCCTGTTTTGCACCTTGCATGAGGACAATAAGAGGAAACCAAATGGCACCTCCTGGGGGGTAGATCCATAGCCCCACTTTGTTTCGGCAGAAAAGGCTGCTCTCCCACTCCAAATCTGCAGTGTTGCTACTGCACAGGAGAGTAAGGTGCCTCCTGGGCTTGGGTCCTGAGTGTAGCCTGATGACAAATGATTGGTGCTAATATCTAGCAGACAAGGAAGGGACACAGAAACACATCAGAAACACTTGTTTTCTCATTAATAATGGCCACAAAATTAGCTACACTTGATTAGCAAAGATTGGAATAAATGAAAGCATTTTGGAACAGAACATGCTAAATCCTAATTATTCTGGGGTTCAGAGGTGATTAAATAATCCTCAAGATTTCTTTAATCTGCTACAGAAGAAACCCTAGACTATTAAAAAGATCAGAGTCACTTTAAAAGGATCATGGTATATATAAAATTTTACTGGAATATAACCAACATCCTTGCTTTGTTGCAAGAGGTACTGTGTCAGTAGACAGCAAAACAGGAAGTATTTAAAAGTTTGCTTACAACAGATCATATGGTTAAACTGTTAAAATTTACTCACGTGAATAAGAGACCAGGGCTAGATTTAGTCATGTCATATGTAATCAGAAACTCTGGCCAGGTTTTTCCAATAGCTCTTGGCAAAAAGGCTAGTATTTTTACAGAAATGAAGAAAATATGAAAAGCCACAAAAATACATACAACTAATTATTGAATTTGCCTACAATGTAATCTTGGAAAAGTATGCTTTTGAAGAGCTTTTATATTTATTGACTCCCATGGTTCCTCTGTGAAGCATGTATCAAGATGAAGATGAAGAAGCTGAGTTGAGGAAGGTTAGGTAACCTAGCCAAGATCACATGAGACTTAAGGATGAAGATTTCTCCTACCAAAATCAATTGTTTTTTTAAGAGAAGATTTTTGTAAAACAAGACAGGGCCAAACTTACATGTCTCAAAGCCCTTTATGTCACTTTTGCTGTATCTTTCCTCCCAAAACAAAGTAGAACGTGTTAAAGAAGATGAGATCAGTTTTAAAAAGCTTATGTTTTAAATATTAATCTCTTTCTTCTTAAAGTCTTTTTGAATTTCTTCTTATAGTCTAGTAATATAAAAATCAACATTCTTCATCTGATCTGTAAGTAGATCTCTTACCACCTCAGATGATACTGTTCAAGGTCAAAGGTTATCTAATTTTTTTTCACACTTCACAACAATTAGCACAGGCAGCCATTGTTAGACATCATCTAGTAATTCTACTCTTGGGTTTATTCACCCTCAGAATGAAAGCAGAACTCAAACACTTAGTTGTAGCCAAAGGATGGAAATAACCCAAGTGTCCATCAACAGGTGGATTTTTAAAAATGTGATTACAGGCATACAATGGAATATTATTCAGTCATAAAAAAGAATGAATTCCTGACATGCTACAATACGGATAAACCTTGAAAACATATTAAATGAGTAAACAGACCAAAAAAAAAAAAAAGATAAGTATTATATTATTCCACTTATATGAGGTACTCAGAATAGGCAAATTCACAAAGATAAAAAGTAGAAGGGAAAGAGAAAAGAAGACAAAGTAGAAAACCTATTGGGATGGGGGGAACAGAATGACAAGTTATTATTTAGTGAATTCAGAAATTGTCTGGGATGAGGAAGTGTTCTGGAGATAGACAGTGGTGACAGTTGTATACTATTGTCAATGTACTAAATGCTCCTTAAAAATGGTAAATTTGGTTATGTATATTTTACCATACACAATTATGTGAAAAATGAGATAAGCCAAAGTGACTTAATAACTAACCTATAAAAGATTAAGAGTATGTTAGAAGAATGAAGAGAGAAGATGGGAAGGGAACTAGTGCACCCATAGATCATCCACTCATTAATTCAATAAATATATACTAGTAAGTGCCAGCTATCTGCCATGTACCATACTAAGCCTGAGGGATAAAAAATGAATACAAAAGGCCAGATGTGGTGGCTCATGCCTGTAATCCCAGCACTTTGGAAGGCCAAGGCGCACAGATCACTTGAAGTCAGGATTTCAAGACCAGACTGGCCAACATGGTGAAATCCTGACTCCAATAAAAATACAATAAATTAGCTGAGGATGCTGGCATACACCTTAATCCCAGCTACTTGGGATGCTGAGGCAGGAGAATCAGTTGAACCTAGGAGGTGGAGGTGGCAGTCTGAGATAATGCCATTGTACTCTAGCCTGGGCAACAGAGCAAAACTACATTTCAAAAAAAAAAAAAGATCCTAATTCTGCTCTCAGGGACTTTAGAGTCCAGGAGGGCACAGAGAAAAGTAAAGTGACAATTAAACATCAACACAACTTAATAATTATGATAGAATATATTTAAGGCACCAGAGAGCACACAAAAGTGACACTTAATATGAGAAGGTGGGTAGAAAGGATACCTGGAATAAGTCAAGTCTAAGCTGCAACTAAAAGGAAGACAGTAAAAGGGCAACAGAGTATTAAAGAACCAGCAACAGCATATTTTAAGCCTTAGTGGCATCAGAAAACATGCTGTGTTTAAGGAACTGAAAAGAAGTTCACAAGACTGAATGTGGAATGTGAAATAAGGATAAACAGCAAAACAGGTAGCAAAGACAGCCAAAAACTGTTAAGAAATGACTATACATTAGAAAGAGATGAAAAAGGTGGCCAGAAATATGGAGAGGCATGGAGGCATTAGAGCCAAAAGGAAGATGGTTTAAGTAGGGCGGGGTCCAAAGTATGATCTATCTTGGCACATTTCATGTGCACTTAAAAAGAATGTGTTCTAATAGCATGGTAATGATACAAAAACAGATACATAGACCAAATGAAACAGAACAGAGAACCCAGAAATAAAACCACACACCAACAGCCATGTAATCTTCAAGAAAGTCAACCAAAATAAGCAATGAGGAAATGACTCCCTACTCAATAAATGATGCTGGGATAAATGGCTGGTCATATGCAGAAGACTGAAACTGGACCCCTTCCTTATACCACATACAAAATCAATTCAAGATGGATTAAATACTTAAAAACTAAAACTATAAAAACCCTAGACAACAACCTAGGCAATACCATTCTGGGCATAGGAATGGCAAAGATTTCATGGCAAAGATGCCAAAAGCAATTGCAACAAAAGCTAAAAATGACAAATGGGATCTAGTTAAACTTTATCAACAGAGTTAACAGACAACCTACAGAATGGGAGAAAATATTCACAAACTATGCATCTGACAGGTCTAAGATCCATCTAAGGAACCTATACAATCCAACAAGCAAAAAACAAGTAACCCCATTAAAAAACAGGCAACAAAAGACACGACCAGACATTTCTCTAAAGATGACAGTGGCCAACGAATGTATGAAAAAATGTTCCACATCACTAGTCATCAGAGAAATGCAAATCAAAACCAATGGCTATCAAAAAAATGAAAAAAAAAAAACAAAAAAAACAAAAAAAACCAAAAAAAAAAAAACCAGCAGATGCTGGCAAGGCTGCAGGGAAAAGGGAACACATATACACTGTTGATGGGAATGTAAATAAGTTCAGCCACTGGGGAAAGCACTTTGGAGATTTCTCAAAGAACTTAAAAAACACAACTACAAAAAACAACACAACACAACACTTTGGAGATTTCTCAAAGAACTTAAACACAACTACAAAAAACAACACAACACAACACAAAAAGACACATGCACTCGCATGTTCACTGCAGCACTATTCTCAATAGCAAATACCACGGAATACTATATGGTCATAAAAAAAGAATTGAATCATGTCCTTCGCAGCAACATGGATGTAAATGGAGGCCATTATCCTGAGCAAATTAAGGCAGGAACAGAATAGCAAATACCACATAGTCTCACTTACAAGTGGGAGCTAAACGTTGGGTGCTCCTGGGCCCCTTCCTTACACTGCATACGAAAATCAATTCAAGATGGATTAAATGCTTAATACCTAAAACTATAAAAACCCTAGACGATAACCTGGGCAGTATCATTCTGGGCTTAGATATAATAGCAGTACCATTGCTATTATATGGCAATAACAGACACTGCAGACTACTAGAGCAGGGAGGGTGGTAAGGGTTGAAAAACTAATTGTTAGGTTCTATGCTCAGTACCTGGGTGACACAATCATTTGTACCTAAACCTCAGCATCACAGCAATATACCCAGGTAACAAACTTCCCTGTATGTAACCTCTGAATCTAAAATAAAACCTGAAAATCTTAAGTAAATAAATAAAGTAGAAAAGTAGACACTAAAAAAAAGAAAAAGAAAGGAAACAAAGTATATTCTAATATTGTTGGGTGGAAAAAGCCTATAAATGTCAATTAGATCAAGTTGGTTGATACGGTTCAAGTCTTCCATATCCTTAATGATTTTCTGTCTACTTGGACTAAAAATTATTGAGAAAGAGGTAGTAAAATCTCTGATCATAATTATGAATTTTTATTTCTCTTTGCAGCTCCATCAGATTTGCTTCATGTATTTATAACTGCTATGTTCTCCTAACTGGTCCCTTTGTATCATTATGCAATGAACGATCTTTTTATCATATTAATAACTACCACAGAGCTATATTCTTTGCTCTATGGTAGTTATTAATATGAGCTAGACAACTATAAACTAGAAAAGAAAAGATGCAGAATAGACTCAACTACTGAGATTAAAATTTACCAGAATATTGAAAATGCAAACTAGATAATCAAGTGATAAGAAATGAGTAAGGAATAGGGGGAAAAGGCAACAGCCATGATACATGATTCCCAAAGAAATGTTCCCAGTAGAGAAAATTAAATCTGGTAATTTTAATGATTCAGGAAAAAAAAAACAAAAACAGACTTATAAAGCAATTCTCACTTTAACTTGTCTATAGACAATAAGTTAATAAGGAAGTTTTAAGGAACTTTAGGATGGAGACACTTGTTCCATTGTATGACAGATCTTTGCATTCCCTAACAAAGCTCAGGCCACTATGGGAATGGGAATACCATATGGCTTTCTCAAAAACAACCGTCTTTAAATCAGAATGGAAGTGCAAGTCCTCATTTTCAATAACTAGATTTAACCACTTGCCTCCTACACCAAAAAATGGGAGCAAGATGAACAAGAAAAACATCTTCTTGAGGTCTGCATCCCAGAAGGCAGCACTACTGAGTTTCATTTATACTGGTGACTGGAGGCTTTTGTGGGAGCTGAACTCCTCTGATAACATGATGAAAGCTAGGAATAGTCTCTCCAGGAAATCTCATGTACTCAACCATTTGCATATAATTTCAGGGGCTAACAGACCATGGAAGCCTAAGTTAGGAATTTTTAATGTAAACGCTTTAAAGTATACAAAGAAGAAGAAAAAATCAGGTCTCAAATCCAGTTACGTTTTATCAAGGCAAGCTTGCTACAGACTTGATTAAATGCCATCATGTGTGACAATGAATACTCACCTATCTTAGTGAAAAACTGTATTTTTAATGAGGTATAAATTAAAAGCAAATTTAACATACTTGCTTTATACATCTTGATCTGAACAATGGCATCCCATGTAAGGTCTAAATCAGGGCCATGCAATTAGCAACTCTAGGATCAAATACAGTTTTCTACTTACTTTGCTATCTATACTCTTCATCTGTAGCTCAAGTTCAGACCTATTCCAGGTAAGCCAAGCAATGGCCAACCCACTGCTGAATGAGAGACTTGATTCCACCCTTACCTGTTGCTATGCTTGGACTTTTCACGGTCCTTCTCCTTGTCCTTCTTGTGTTCTTTGTGCCGATGTTCTCGATCTTTGTGTTTATCTTTGTGTTTATGAGAATCTGCAACCATAAGAGATGAGTCAGTTAAGAGGAGTCATGAGCTATCTTTTGTATGCCTACCTTGACAAGCTGGTCAAGAAGTACAGTGACAGGATTCAAATGGCATGGCAGGCATAATAGCACATGCCACTGAAAAAAAAGCTTTCACAAAGAAGCCCAGACAAAGCATCCCATTAGCCTGCTTCTACAATCAAAACATGTTACTAATATGGGAAGGATGAGGAAATGAGAGCCAATTCTACTATGAAAAGAAGCCAGTTTGGCATTTTTCTCCCTAGCCGTAGTGCTACTAAGCCTGACCTATAAATGATAACAAAGGGGTAAAACTTGAACACTGACTCTAAAGATCAGGTGTTTTAACTTCTGAAAAATTCAAACCTCAAGAGTTATGTTTATAAATGAACATTCATAAGGTATAATTTCTAAACAATAAAATACTGTCAGCCCTCCACATTTACGGGTTCAGCACCACAGATTCAGACATTTGCAGACTGAAAATATTCAAGGAAAAAAAATATTAATAACAAAGACAACCCCAAAATGCACCCCCCCCCCCCCAAAAAAAAAAAACTACATAGTTACACTGTATTCGGTAGTATAAGTAATGTGGTGATGAGTTAAAGTATATATGATTGTGTAGGTTATATGCAAATACTGTGCCATTTTATATCCAAAAGCTTCAACATCTGCAAATTTTGGTATACTCGGCGCAGGGGGTAAGGTGGTCCTGGAACCAATACCCTACAAATATTAAGAAATAACTACATACACATCTCAAAGACACCGTGTGATATGCCTGACAAACACACAGGTGCAATCCCCACTACAATAAAGATTTAGAACAAGTCCATCACCTCAGGAAGTTTCCTGTGTGCTCCTTCCAGGTCATTCCCCACATTCCACTCCTTGCCTAAAGGAAGCACTGATCTGATCATGCTATAGATTAGATCTGTCTAGATTTCTAGATTTCATGTAAACAACATCATATAAGATTTATTCTTGTGTCTGATTTCTTTCTCTCAGCATAACATTTGTGACATTCATCCATGTTGTTGGATATACCAGCTGTTGGTTCCATTTTATTGCTGAGTGGCGTTACATTGCATGGATATACAGTAACTTACCCACATTCACTTGCCAGACATTTTAGTTGTTTCCAGGCATTGGTTATTATTTATCTGCTACAAACATTCATATACAAATATTTCTGTAGACATGTTTTCATTTCTCTTGGGTACACACTTAGGAGAAAAGTTACTGGGTAATATAAAAAATGTATGTTTGACTTTATAGGAAATTGCCAAAGTGTACCATTATATATCCCCATCAAAAGTTCATTAATGTTCCAATTGATACAAATTCTCACCAATATCTGATCTGTCTTTAATTTTAGCCATTCTAGCAGGTGTGAAGTGGTATCTCACTGTGGTTTCAATTAACATATTTCTGATGATTAAAAGATGTTTAGTGACAAGCATCTTTTCGTGTGCTTTTTGGCCACTCATATATCTTCTTTGGTGAAGTTTCTGCTCAAATCTTTCCCGCAATATAGAAAACTCATTTGGTCTTCTTATTATCTTGGTATAAGAGCTCTTTATACATTCTGGATTACCAATTTTTTTTTGTCAGCTATATGAACTGTGAATATTTTCTCCCCAATATTTTATTGTTTTAATTTCTTAATGGTGTGTTTCAAAGAGCAAAAGTTTTAAATTTTGATCAAGTCCATTT